ATGAATGAACAGAGTGAGTGAGTGAAGGAAGGAAGAAGGCATTATTATTGCCATTTTACAGGAGAGGAAACTGAGTCTCCATTTCAAGAAATGTGTCCCTTTCAAGAAATGTGTCCAAAGTCACCTTATTCACCTGTAGTCATTATGCACCTACTAGGGAGTGGATCAGTTGTCCTGCCTTGGTTACAGAATGTTCTAAAAACTCTTAGCTGGGTGGAGGCATCTTACTCAGACTGTGCTGGGTGATCTTAAGAGTTCTGAGAAAAGCCTAAACAGTACAATAAGATGCGGTCATGGCTCAGGCTGGCCTGTCTCCAGGCACTAGTTAAGATCTTGGGATTCAACTCAGAGAAGAGACCAACGCAGTGCACATTCTGGCTTACTGCCCAGAGGAGAGTTGGCACAGGACGCCATGGTGTTCTGCCCTCTCTCTCTGGGCAACCAGTGGCATGGTGTAGCCTCATATCAGGGTGGGACATCCACACATTCACAAACACACAATTTTAGCACCTGCTTCTATGTGTGTATATACCCAAGAGATATGAAAACAGCTATTCAAACAAACACTTGTACGTGAATGCTTATAGCAACATTACTCATAATAGTTAAAAAGTGGAAACGACCCAAATATTCGTAAACAAAATGTGGTGTATCCATACACGGAATATCATTCAGCTGTAAAAAGGAATGAAGTACTGATACCTGCTACAACATGGATGAACCTCAACAGTTATGCTAAGTGAAAGAAGCCAGACACAAAAGGTCGCATATTCCATTTATACGCAATGTCCAGAATAAGTAAATTCATAGAGACAAAGAGCAGATTGGTGGTGGCCAAGGGCTGAGAGGAGGAGGGAATGAGGAGTGACTGCTTAATGGGTACGGGGTTTCCTTTTGGGGAAATGAAAATATTCTGGAACTAGATAAAGGTGATGCTTGAACAACGTTGTGAAAGTATGAAATGACACTGGAGGGTACACCTTAAAATTGTTAATTTCCTGTTAATTTACCTCAATTTTAAAATTTTGTTTTAAATATCTAAAATCTGACCATGGGATTATTAAGGAACATGCAATGAGTTAATATATTCAAAGCATTTAGAAAAGTGCTTATTTCATGTTATATACTTAATAAACGATGATTAACTACTTAATTATATATTCATTTTAGAGAAGGAGAAACTGAGGCAAAGAATGACAAAGTGACTTTCCCAAGCTCACACAGCTAAAAAAATGGACAAGCCTGGATGAAAATCCAGTCTTGCTTGGCTCCAGAGTTCCAGCTCTTTCTGCAACACAACCCTGTCCCTCCCTGAAGGTTGCTGTATCAACCAGAGTTCCATCAAGAAAACAAAAGCCACTCTAGGAATTTCAAGCAGGAAGGAATTTAACACAGGGAATTAGATGTTTGCAAAGAAGGTATCGGGAGTAAAGTCAGGAGATGCCACCTGCTTCTAGAGTCAAGAGTCACAGTGTAGCTAGATATGAAGAGTTAGAATGTTGTTGCTGCCACCTGGAGTCGAGAAACTATAGTAAGTCCTGGCCCACATTGCAGTCGGTGCTGTCCTGCAGTCCCAAGGCCGAAGACTGGCAGTGGGATGGAGGATGGAGTCATCCAGCTGCTGTAAAAACTTACATCTGCAGAAGGCCACACATCTATCATGGCTGCCAAAGAAGGAAAGATGGATTCTACCCTCTTCCACCTTCTAAATATCACGTGAGCACGTTTCTTCAGGACACTCTGAACTGTACCCGTAATCTTGCCAGTAAAAGAGTCTGGAACATCTAGTTCCTGAGCTTAGAGCCCAGGAACAAACACAGTGTGAACACAGAATGGGGTGGCACGGCTGCCAAGTGCCAACAGTCACGTTCATGCACAGGTTCCAAGGTCAGGCCTACTCTGTGTTCACCCCTGAGCTAGGCACACCTGTAGGTAGCCTTTTACTCTTCCAACTACTACTTGTACTTATTGAGGGTGTATTGTGCCAGGCCCCGTGCTGAGCCCTGGGAATATAGCAGTGAAAGGGCCCAAGGGTGGTGGGGACTCCATCTGGAAGCCAGACATGGTCAGACATGGTCAGTCTGGCCACTAGAGGAGCCTTCTGCCAAGGCAAACGTACCCACTCAACACATGTTCATTGAGCACCTATTATATGCAGACTGTGTGAGGTACTGGGGATACAGTGGTGAATACAACATGCATGTCCATGTACTTTTCTGTAGTCTCCCCCAGGAAGAATCATCCCGTCTGGTAATTGTACATGTATCTTTTATAAGCCAATGGCTCCAGCCCTGGCGTCTCTCCTAAGCTCAAGACTCTTATATCTAACTGCTGGCTTGGCCGCATCATAATCATAGCAACAATACATATAATACATACTTGTCCCAAGCTCTGTACATAAATTCACTCATTCCATCCTCATTAATCCTATGAAATGAGTACCGTAATTATTCTCATTTTACAGATGATAAAATTAAGGCATTGGTTTAAAGTAGATTAAAGTACCTTGGCCATACAGTTACTAAAACGCCAGAAATCCAGCCCAGCCAGTCTGGCTCCAGAGCCCTTGCTCTCAACCCCTGAACTATGCAGTCTCTCAGTAGCTCCCCTTGGATGTTCTAACATCCCAAACAGAAATCTGATGACCTCTCCTCTCCGAATCCAACTCCAGTTGTCCACATTGCAATAGATAACATTAACCCAGTTGCTCAGGCCAAAAGCCAGGGCTCATCCTTGATTCTTCTGTTTTATTCACACCCCCATGTCTAACCCATCAGCAATTTCTGCTGGTTTTACCTCCAAAAAATTTCCCAGCTCAGCTCACATTGCACCATCTCCTGGGCTGTCACACTAGTCATTCACCTCCTTCCCTGTCTACTATGGTCACCTCCCAAATGGTCACCCTGATCCCACTCTGACCTTCTTCCACCCCCTGACATAATACTGTCCTTTAAAACATAAACCACGGACTTCCCTGGTGGCAAAGTGGTTAAGAATCCACCTGCCAATGCAGGGGACATGGGATTGAGCCCTGGTCCGGGAAGATCCCACATGCCACGGAGCAACTGAGCCCGTGCGCCATAACTACTGAGCCTGCGCTCTAGAGCACGTGAGCCACAACTACTGAGCCCGCGTGCCACAACTACTGAAGCCCACGCGCCTCTTAGAGCCCGTGCTCTGCAACAAGAGAGCCACCGCAATGAGAAGCCCACACACCACAATGAAGAGTAGCCCCGGCTCGTTGCAACTAGAGAGAAAGCCCACGCACAGCAACGAAGACCCAATGCAGCCAAAGATAAATAAATTTAAAAATTAGTTCCTTTAAAAAAACCAAAATCTAAAACAAATAATAAACCGGTCACATCACGTCCCTGCTTCAGGGCCTCTGACAGCCTCTCACTGTACTCAGAATAAAATCCGACTCCTTAGCATGGCCTCCAAGGCCTAACTGATGTGACTCAGCCTATGTTTTCCCTCCCCGCTCCACCACCACCCCAAATCGCTCTGCTCCAGCCACACTGTCCTGACGGCTGTTCCTCAAACACTCCAAGCTCAGGGCCTCTACACTCCAAGCTCCTTCCAACCTCAGGGCCTCTACACCTGCTTGGAATTCTCTTCCCCAGACCCTCCTATGCCTGGCTTCTTCTCCTTCAGGTCTCAGCTCAAATGTCACCCCCTCAAAGAGGCTTCCCCTAGCTCCTTCCCAACCCTGGCTCAGGAAATGTATACATAGTTGGAAAGATAGCTTTCCAACTATCCATCCATTCCTTTACTCTGTTCTATTTTCATAATGCTTTTCATTATCTGAAATTACCTGATTTATTAATTTGTTGACCTGTTTTGTGTGTTTCCTTAATATTTACTGAGCCCCTACTTCGTGCTGTCACATTGTTGACTTTAAAATCAAACAGTCAGCTATTTTACCAGCAAAGGTGCGTTTATTTGGGAAGAGCAGAGCATTGCAAGTTCAGAAAGCAAGCCGCAGCAAAAACCACAGGCAAGTCCAACAAACAAAGGAAAGGAACTTTACCTTATAGAGATAAAGGAGGAAGTTGGAAGGGGTTGTTCTGAACTGAAGTCCATTGAATAAAAGTGAGAGTTCAGGGTGATGATGGTTTATCATTGGCTGAGTTGCTAGGGTAGTTGATTTCTTGTAGGAGGTGCAAGGTGCATCTTTTCCTGTTGGGGCCTGTAATTGATGATTCTTCCCTGTTGAATATTATTCTGTTGGGGTCTGTAATTGACCTGGAGTGGTACTTTGAGAGCTTCCTCTTCTGGCCTCCGGACTTCATTGCAGTGAGGTTTCCTTTACTAATTTTCACACTATGAAGGGCTGTTATCTCCAGCACCAAGAACAGAGCCTACACATGCCCCTTAAATATGTGATGAGAGGATGTGAATTCGTCCAGGCTCTGAGAGAATAGACATTGGTCGGATATCAGGTGTAACTGGAGAATGGGAAGCACCTAACAGAGGACTCGGTCGAGCTTGGGGGTCAGGACAGCTGAGCTAAGACTTGAAGGATTTAGGTGCAGAGAACAGAAAGTAAGTATTCTAGCTAAACAGAAAGGAATCCGTTACAGAGTGTTATGTGTTATAATCAGGAGACCTGATTATTTCAAGAGAGCTGCCCCTGGCTCCAGACCCTCACCACCCCTGCTGAAGCCACCAGGATCAGGGAGCCCCGGCTGCCACCACCGCCTGTCATAGTGGGTCGGCACTGCCAGCAGACTCGCCACCAGCATCTGCACAGCCCAGCCCCGCCTCTCACCCCACCTGAACCTGGTGCCCACACGCTGGAAATAGCCACAGAAAAAACCCAAACCTCTGCAAACAATGCTTGTCTGCGGAAACTCACCTCCACCTTCCAAAAGGTCATGTAAGTGTCTCCGATTGGCTGAAGCTAAGTCACACGCAGAACTCTAGCTCTAAGTGAAAGGGCGTCTGGGAAGTGTGTTTTCAGCTTTCTAGTTCCTGCACTAAGGCAGGTCCAGAGAGGAGGGGTGAATGGATATTGAGTGACAGTCCATTGTATGCATCACCGTGTGTATGCATATGTGTGCCTTGTATGCATGCGTGCATGTGTGTGACGGGGCACAGTAGGAGGAGGAACAGACCATCAAGACCAGAGAGAAGGAGGCATTCTCAAAAAGACCATCACAGACCTTTCCTCTGTGAGGACCCGGACCAGAGCTCCTGAGGGCCTTTCAGCCGAGGTAGGAGAACAGGCTTTAACTGTCCAATGGTTTAGTCCTACTTCCTTATTTTACTAATGGGAAAAGCAAAGCCAAAGGAGTTACGTCCTCGCCTAAGGCCACACTGCAAGTCGAGACATTGGCCTACACCCAGCCGGGTCCCTGGGGGTTAAGGTCTGTGCTTTCCCCTTGAGGTGTGACCAGGTTCCCAGGTGGGCGCCCAGCTACGAGGATGCCTGGCTGCACAGCCCTCCCCCTGCTCAGCAGGATTCGTTTCTGGTCTTTCCGGGGCACGCTCCAATGTACTTCAATAACAGCAAACATTTACAGATGCCTCCTCTGAGCCAGGCAGTGTGGCAGGTGGCGGTGGGAGCTGTATGAACACATAGGTTGCGATTCTTCCCTCCAGCAGTCCCTAGCCTTGTGGGCGAGTCGGGTGAATAATACCGACAGAGTCAGGAGGCCAAAGGGAGGGAGAGGGCACCGAGGGGGCATCCTAACTGCTGTCAATAAGGACACTGAGACTCAGAGAGGATCCCTGACCTGACCAAGGTCACACAGCCCATAAGTGGCTGAGCCCAGAATTTGAACTCAATATATTTTGTTAATCTGAAACAACAAAACAGTTATTTTACCAGCAAAATGGGTTTATTGGGAAGCAGCAAAGAATTGCAACTATGGTAAACCACGGGCAAGCCAGGTAAAGGGAAGGAGAGGAAACTTTTATAGAGAAGGGGAAGTTGGGAGGGGCTGTTATAAACAAAATGTCCATTGGAGGAAACTGGGAGTTCAAAGAACAGTGGCTTTTCATTGGCCGAGTTGTGTCAGTCTCTCATTGGCCCAGCTGTTTTCAGTGGAGGAGAAAATCTTTCTTCCTCCTGCTGCAGGTAGTAAAGTAGTTCATTTCCTGCTGGAGATGCAAGGTATGTCTCTTCCCATTGGGAATCAGTATTGATGGAGTGATACCCTTATGAGAGCTCCCCGTTTTGGCTTCCCACTCCATTTTAGTGAGGTTTCCCTTCTTTCATTAATTTTCACAGTTGAATCGAACGCCGTAATTTTAGAATATAGGAGGCAGGTAGCAGAGAGTGTGGACTTAGATGTCACCTAGACCTGTGTCCAAATCCTAGACTCAGCCCCTTACCAGCTGTGTGTGGTGGGTGAGTTATAAACCTCTCCTTGCCTTGGTTTTCTCATACATAAAATGAGGCCATGAATACTTCTTCCTTGTGGAAAATGTGGGAAGGTTAGGTGAGTTAATGCACGGAAACGGTTGAGCCCGTGCACGTAGAAAATCCTCAATAAGTGCTAGCTAATGCTAGCTCTGTTTATTCTAAGTCAACCTACCGGCTCCAGGCTGCTCAGGCTATAAGTGTGCGTAGAGGCAAGGTGGCTCGTCTTGGGTCTTCTAATATGGAGAAGTCACATCTCTTTTCCAGGCTGACCTTGTATGTAATGAGAATTTAGTGGTTACCAGGGGCTGGGGGTGGGGAGGTATTGGTCAAAGGGTACAAACTCCCAGTTATAAGATTAGCAAGTTTGGGGATCTAATACACAGCTTGGTAATTATAGCTAATGATACTGTATCATACCCTTGAATGTTACTAAGAGAGTAGATAATTGTTCTCACCATAAAAAAGAAATGATAACTATGTGATGGGATGCAGGTGGTAGCTAATACTATGGTGGTAATCATTTTACAATTTATAAATGTGTCAGATCAACACATGCACCTTGAACCGACACAATGTTATGTGTCAATTATATCTCAGTGAAGCTGGAAAAATAAAATAAAACTTAACCTTGCCCAAAAGAGGTCTGACCTTTGCTCTCACCTTCTGGACGGTAATCTTTGTTTGCCTGGGGGGTCTGGGACTAGCCAGATAGTAACAATGTGATTTTTCTTAAAAATATGTTTCTTCTTGTAAAATCAACGTCCTAATAACTTGGCTAAGCCGGTGCAGCTGGACTGCAGCTGGTGGCACGGAGCCAGCTGCACCCCAGGGTTGGTGGACCAGCTGCAAAAGCCCCTGGGCCACTGGCCCAACCAGCCAAAGGCTAAGAGGTGGCAGTTTTAATGTCACACGTTGGAAAAGTGCCATCTTGACCACACTTCCTGGCAGCATTCAATATTCTCAGAGGGGGGCCTAAAATTTTGTAGGCAAGCCCCACCGATGGGTGATGCTGTTGAAGTGGGTGATGGCGTTGATGGCATTCAGGAAAAAGAGGAAGGAGGCCGTGAACTTGCCCCAGAACATCAGGGTGAGGCCGATGAGCGTGACCTGGTTCCTGAGAAGGATCAGGAAGCTCAGGAGGCCCCTGAGGGAGAAGATGAACGAGACAAGGAAGAGGGTGGAGCCCAGGGCCCACTCGCGCCATGAATGGGGGTCCTCACACACCTGAGACACCATGAGGAGCTCCAGGACCAAGATGGCAACCCCCACGGCCAAGGTGGCCACGCTGTGGGCCACGGCCATGCCTGAGGCCAGCCTGGGCACGTGGGCCTGACTCAGGTCTTGGAGACAGTGCAGCCCAGTCTGGTTGGAGGCGGTGCAGAAGCGCCACAGCCGGAAGAGGCGGTTGTCAGCCAGGAGCCAGTGGTCATCACAGATGGAGATGGAGGAGACGACCACAGACAGAGGGGCACACAAGATAATGAGGGCCCGGATGAAGGATTCAAAGAAGGGCCGGTGGGGCCTCCTTTGGGCCAGCAGCCTCTGGGCTTGCAGGCAAAGCCTGCAAGGACCGTCCATTCGGGAGATGAGGAGGCGAGCTGATGGGATGCATCCACTAAAGGAAGCTCACCCACAGGGCAGTGGTCCTGCCAGGGTGCTGACTTCCCTTTGCAGAGCCTCACACCTGAGGAGAGGGGTGGGAAGGGGTCAGTTCTCAAACAAACCCCTGGCACCACTCTGCACGCTACCGAGGGCTGTCGTCCTGTGCGGGGTCTTGGCCGTGCGCTCCTGCCCGGCTCCCTCACACCTCTCTGCTCAGTAACAATGTGATTTAGGATGGGGGCTGGCCATGCCAGAAAGACCAACGGCATGGCTTAGGGTGCAGGCTTTGGGTCACACAGTACCCATTGACCAATCAGTCATCAATCAAGCAATCAATCAGTCATGCCTACCCAGTGGAGGCCCGATCAGAACTCTGAATGCCGGAGGCTCAGGTGAGCTGCCCTTGTTGGCAGTGCTCTGTGCATATTGTCGCTCATGGATGCAGGGAAGTGAACACACCCTGACTTCACGTGGACAGGACAGCGGAAGCTCAGCAGCTGTTGTGTCCCCAGACTCCACTCTATTCCTGTCTTCTCTTGGCTGGTTTGACTCTGTCGTTTCCCTGTAATAAACTGTAACTGTGAGTAGAATAGCTTTCACTGAGTTCTGGGAGTTCTCCTAGTGGATGATCAAACTTAAGGGCAGTTTTGGAAACCCCTGAACCTGCAATTGGTGTCAGAAGTGACGGTGGTCCTGTGGCCTGTGTCGTCTTGAAACGGTACAGTTGACTAAACTCTCACACACTGGCATGTTGAACAAATGAATACGTGAGTGGGTTGTCCTGAATTGCTCACAGTCAAAGTCAAACAACTACCCTAAGCCTCTGGGGTAGGGACTCCTGTTACCCCTTTCACAGGCAAGGAAGCTGAGGCTCAGAGAGGTGAAGCAAGTGGAGGGGCCAGGATGGGAACCAAACCTTCTGGACTCCAGCTCAGGATCTGACCACCATAGGGTACTCCTCCTGCCACAAGGGCCCTTCCACCCTCACAAGCCAGGACCTCACCAGCCCAGGACCCTCTGGGAAACAGAACAGAGAAGGGCTAAGGCAGACCAAGCCTGCAGCCCCGGAGGCATTTCAGAGGAGGGTGGGCAGGCCTCAGGCCTTCCCAGTGCCCTGTCCACAGCCTACCTGGCCCTGCAGCAGGCTGCAACTCAGATGTCTTCATGGTCAGGCAGGTCACTTAAAAGATGAATCAGGGACTTCCCTGGTGGCGCAGTGGTTAAGAATCCACCTGCCAATGCAAGGGACACGGGTTCAAGCCCTGGTCCGGGAAGATCCCACATAACGTGGAGGAACTAAGCCCATGCGCCACAACTACTGAGCCTGCGCTCTAGAGCCCACTAGCCACAACTACTGAGCCCACATGCCACAACTACTGAAGCCCACAACAAGAGAAGCCACGACAATGAGAAGCCCGCGCACCGCATAGCCCCTGCTCGCTGCAACTAGAGAAAGCCCACGCGCAGCAACAAAGACCCAACACAGCCAAAAATAAATAAATAAATTTATTTAAAAAAAGATGAAGCAGCAGGGGGATGCTGAGGAGGGGCAGGGGAAGCTGAGGTAGACGGAAGGTGTGCTCCAGAGCAAGGCACCATAATCTTTGTTGAGGTTCTTGTTGTTTTAAACATAGAACAAGGGCCAAACCAGACATGCATTCCGGTCACCAGTCTGCGACCTCTGAACTCCATAGCCTGAACCTCCCCACCTCCACCACTTGACCCCTCACCATGCTGCCTGAGCTCCTCAGCTCCTGGATGGTCCTGTCCTCTTACTGCAGAGCTGCTGCCATGCAGTTCTCTGCCCTGGGCAGTCTTCCTATGCTCTTTTTTTTTTTTTTTTTTGCGGTACGCGGGCCTCTCGCTGTTGTGGCCTCTCCCGTTGCGCAGCAACAGGCTCCGGACGCGCAGGCTCAGCGGCCATGGCTCACGGACCCAGCCGCTCTGCGGCATGTGGGATCTTCCCAGACCAGGGCTCGAACCCGTGTCCCCTGCATCGGCAGGCGGACTCTCAACCACTGCGCCACCAGGGAAGCCCTTCCTATGCTCTTTGAACCACCCAATTCCCACCTATTTTGCTGGTCTCAGCTTCAAAGCCATTCCTCGGAATTTTCCTCTGACCCTGCACATTCAGTACCAGAACCCAGGCCTCTTGACCTCAGCCCAGGGCTCTGGCCCTTCCTACTCTGCTATAAACTCTCTGTCCCCTAGGCTTTCTCATGGCTACTCCAGAATCAACTAATACTCATTCAGATGATCAATCAACTAACCTTTCTCTTATTGAGCATTTTCTGTTTATCAGGCTCTGTTCTAGGCACCAGGGAAATGATAAACAACGAGAGTAGGTTCTCACCCTCATTGACCTTAGGGGAAGTCAGACAATACAGCGATCATCACACAAATAGATATGTAATCACACACCGTAATAAAGGCTATGTATGCAGAGAAGTGTAGAGTTTTTAAGAAAACTAAGAGAAATGGGAAGGCTAATTTAGACTGGGGATCAGAGAAGACTGGGGAGTCAAGGTCTCCATCTTTTTTTTCTCTTATGAATTGCTTTCTCTGTACACTAATAGACTTGCTATTGGCGTTGAAGTTCCTTGCTCCAGGCTCGGTCCACAGGAACTGTTCAATAAATGTTGGCTCCTGTTATAATTTTTCTCCCTACCTCCTGCCACCTGTCACTCACATCCTCCTCCAGAGAGGCAAAGGACAGGTGTCTCTGGAGGTAGAGGGAAGGCTAAGGTGACCTCATCTTTTGGCCTAGACTTTTGTCTCAGTCCCCGAGGACTGATAGCCAGAAAAAGGAAGGAGGCACCCTTTCTTTGACTCCTACGGTGAGCCGAGCATGGTGCCAGGCCCTTTACAGATGTGATTTCACTGACCACGGCAACATCCCATGGGGTGGGTGCTAGTACAATCCCCATTCTGCAGATGGGGAAACTGAGACCCACAGAGGTGGGGGTAGCTCATGGGCAAAACTGAGATAAGAACCTAGAGGATCTTGGCTCTGGAGTCCACCTTCTTCCTGCAGCTCAGCAAGCTGCCAGAATAAACACAGCGGCTGGTAGTAGGAAAGACAAAAGCAAACAAACAAAAAAACCACTGAAAACAATGTGGATGCGCGTTAACTGAGGATTAGTTAAATTAATGGTGGAATATTCGCTCAACAGAATCCTGTGCCGCTCGAGAAAATGAAATAGACGAAATGCTTTCCACACTCCTACTGCTTTTTGGGGGGACGGGGCTGCCATAAATCAGCCTCTATCTACAGCTATTTTAAAGGGGGTATCAAGCTCAATTCACAGGTGTGCAAGAAATAGAATCTCTGTTTTATTTTTACATTTTTTATTTTTTGGCTGCGTTGGGTCTTCGTTGCTGCACGTGGGCTTTCTCTAGTTGCAGCGAGCGGGAGCTACTCCTCGTTGCGGTGCGCGGGCTTCTCATTGCGGTGGCTTCTCTTGTTGCGGAGCACGGGCTCTAGGTGCGTGGGCTTCGGTAGTTGTGGCACGCGGGCTCAGTAGTTGTGGCTCGCAGACTCGGTAGTTGTGGCTCACGGGCTCTAGAGCGCAGGCTCAATAGTTGGGGCGCACGGGCTGAGTTACTCCGCGGCATGTGGGATCCTCCCGGACCAGGGATCGAACCCATGTCCCCTGCACTGGCAGGCGGATTCTTAACCACCGCACCACCAGGGAAGCCCTGTTCATTTGTTTTATATCAACTTTCTTTCTATGCAAAGCCCCATCCAGCCAGGCTGGTGGGAAATTCAACCTCAGCCATTTTTCATTTTCCTCCCTAACACACATGACCCCTCCTGGATAGTGCAAAAGTCCTGGGGTTGCAGGTAGCAGCAAGGCAGTGGACAGAGCAAGAAAGATCTGGTATGGGGCGGGGGGCAGCTCGGGCAGGGCAGGGAACCGTGCTTCCACCCTTTGAGGTCTCACCTGCTCCCCGGGCTCTGCCTGGCTCCCCCAACTCAGCAGGAACTGGTGCCCCCATCTTTGCTCATAGAACTCACAGCCCTCGGCCTCCTCTTCCAGTCATGGAGAACTTCTTTGGGGTCTGGGAAGAACCACCCCCATCCCTAATCAAGTTCCTTTGGGGCTCTCTCCTCTCCGTCCAGGAGGTGCCTCTGCTGCCCCCATCACCACCCCCTCCCCCACTGCCCAGAAGCTGCTCAACAAACTTGGACTTTTGGATACCAAAGGCAGAAGGGGAAGTATATTTTGCAGGTAACCTCTCTCTCCTGCTTCCCACTCTTCCTCAGACCTCCCCCAAGACAAGGAGGTCCAGGACCTTCTTCTCCCATGTGTTTGGCAGAGGAGAGAAAATTTAATATCTCAAAAAACTGTCTTGTCCACTTTTTCACTCTTATCACTAAGGAAATTCCAAGGGTTTTAGGAGCTCTGTGCCAGAAACGGGCAAAGACCAGATATATATTTGATCACAATATCACAAAGTATAATAGTGTCCATGGGAAAGAGGGAAAGAGTAAAGCAGAGGTGCCAAGTTAGTCAGATCATGGGAGCAAGGCTGAAGTCCAGGGCAGGGGCAGGAAAAAAAAAAAGTCTTGTCACAATTTCCCCTGCTACTAAACATATATGTATGTATATATAAACATATACAATATACAGTTATTTATAAATATACACATATATATGGGGGTGCTATACTGTTGCTAGCCCATAGTCCTGAGGAATGGAGGTAAGTTTCTCCTGTTTATTATTTTTATTATCACTAAACATCTCACATGTTATATCATTTAGAAATGCATTCAGCTGCAAGGAACTTAATGCCCAACTAATAGGGGCTTAAATTTATTGGTGTTTGTTTTCCTCACATAACAGAAGTCTGGAGTCAGGTACAGTAGGGTTGATGCAGCAGCTCAAAAGTGCATCAAGGACTTAGACTCCTTCCATTTTTCTGGACCACAATCCTCACCATGTTGGTTTCTCATCCTCGGGCTCGTTGCCTCATTGTCCCAAGATAGCTGCTGTGGCTCCAGGCATCGTATTTGTGTTAAAATAGGAAAAGGGGGAATGAGTAGTGCCTTGTAAAAGAAAATCAGAAACTTTTCTAGAATTGCTCCTTAGCCTCCCCACTTGGGTCTACTTAGCTAGAATGTTTCCAGGTACCCACTTCTAACTCTCAGGGAAGCTGCAAAGTGACAGTTGACTTTTCCCGCCTTTGTGACAGAGGCAGGAAAGGGAGAAGGGGCTTGGGAATGTCTGCTGGTTAACCACAGTGTTTGTCTCATGGAAGCACCATGTTTTACGGTTTACAAAACAGCTACTATTGCCATTTTACGGAAGCTGCAATTGAGGCCCAGAGAGAGGAACTGAGTTGCCTAACTTCAGGTGACGAGACAGTGGTGAGACAGCCATGGAAACAGAACTGGAGCCGAGCCCAGAGCCCTTTCCAGCGCACCACACTGCCTGTTTCCCCACGTGATCTGCAGGTCTTGCACCCACTCTGCCCAGATATTTGTTCTACAACTTTGTCCAAAGTTGCTCCAGAGCAGGCTGGGTTGAGGCTGCTGGTGGTATCGCTGCAGGGACCACAGCCCAGGTGTTGGGAAGCAGGTGTTGGGCAGCAGGTGTCCAGGGACAGAGCACAGGTCTCCGGGGATGAGGGCAGCCGCTTCCCCATTAGCAGTCCAGCAGGGAAGCCCAGCCTGTCAGCGCTGGCAGACAAAAAGAGCTGGGGTCCTACAGCCTGTCCCACAGACTGGCAAAGGAAGGGAGGTGACAAAGGAGAGTGAGAGAGAAGAGAGGGGATAGAGAAGAGGATATGAAGGAAAAGAGGAAGGAGGCGATGGAGGAAAGATGGGGGAGGGAGGATGTGTGGAAGCCGTGACGCTGAGCAGCAGGGGATGAGGGGGATACAGCAAGCAGGCTGAGTGGGCTTCCTAGCCCCTGGGGGGGCAGTGGGTCAGGCCTGACACCTGACACCCCCATCGACCACCAGGTACAGGAGTGTGACCACTGTCTCGCCAGAGAGAACAGGGGCTGAGGAAACACGGAGGGAGAGCTCCCTGCCTGGGGGATACGAGGTGGCTTCTCAGAGCCAAACTGGGACCTGAAACTCCTTAGCCAGCATTCAGGCTCTTCTGTCTGGTTCCGGCTTCCTTCCCTGCCAGGCCTGCCCCAGCCCAGACCCTGGCACAAATCATGCTCAGTACATGTTTGTTGAATGAATAATTGAAAAACTGTAGAGCAACAAGGATACAAAAGCAGGATAAAAGTGCCCACTTCTACAAACCTTTGAAAAAGGTTATCGGGAGCACAAAGTGGGCTTTTTCTCCCTAAAGTGAAACGAGGAGAGAAATGAAATCTCATGTGTTGTGGGGAGGAAGCTCAGGCTGCTCCGTGGAGAGGTCTCCTTCAGCTGAAAGCTACCAGGGGACAAAAGCATCCACAAGACCTGTCTCAAGGTGAGAGAAGGCTTCCTCGGCCCCTGCCCGACTCCAGGCCCCCACCCACTCCGCCCTGGGCCCTGGTACCTGCCTCTACCTGCTACATCCTCCACTTCATCCAGGAAAATTTTTCCAAAATACCCATCTGACCACATCACTACTCTGCTCTAAACCCTCCAGGACCACCCCCTGGTCAGCTCACAACTTCACGGCCTCTCCCCTGCTCAGAAACCCTTCATGGCTCCCCTCTACCCTCAGGACAGTATCTGGTCTCCTCACCATGGCCCTCAAGGGCCTGTGTGACTCAGGCCCAGCCCGACTCTCCGAAGCTCACCACCTCCTGACCCCTACACACCCTCTGCACTGGCAACCACCCTACGTTTCTCATTGGTCCTCAAACACCCTGCTCTCTTGCTCACATGCCGCGTCCTGTCCCTTGGGCGTTTTCCCTCCCCCTGATCTGGCCGACTCCCACTGTCCTGACAGGGTCTGCGGCAGGCACCTCCTTGGTGCACCCGTGCACCTGTGCTGCCCCCATGACCCTAAAGCTCCTTAGAAGTGGGCTGCGTCCCTGGCCACTGCTTCTCAGCCCCCAACAAACCCCAGTCACCTCGATTTCTGTTATGACCTGAGGATGGACATCACAACGTCAAGACCAGGCTCAGGAGGCCCCAGCCAGGAGCCTGTCCGTCCCCCGCACATCGCTGTGCGCCTTCAGAAATGGGTAACCTGTTTCACCTGAGCCTCACAGCAGCCTGGGTACAGGTGGCGTTTTTCCATCTGCTGAATGAGGAGCCAGGGCCCAGAGGGGAAAACTTGCCCGGAGCCCCACAGGAGCCCGATGGCTCTTGCAGTTCAGCGGATCCAGGCAGCTTGGCCGACTTTAGAGCACACACTCTTCCCCACCACACCCTGGGGCCAGAGCAGGGGCCAACGTCTACAGCAGGGAGAAGTGGAGGGTGGTGACAAGTTCTTCAGGAGGACCCTAGAGGCAGGTCAGAGGTGGGCAGGACCTCAGGATGGGCGCTGGTAAGATGGCCCGAAGACCAGCCTCTCAGCCTCCCCACGTGAGCCCCCTCTCCACCCTGACTCTGGCCTCATCACCCCGCATATGGACACTGCTCCAGGGCCCCCTTTTCTGACCCCCAGGCTCCCTTTTGCCAAAGCCCCTCCTTCCTCTATAGCCCCAGCCCGCAGGCTCTCCATGGCCCAGAGGACAGAGCCAGGGCCCCTCCATCTGACCTTCAAGGCCCCTCATGGTCTGGCCCTTCAGCCCCCTCTGCCCTGACATTCTGTTCCCAGCCCCTGCACTGGGCCCAGACGGGATGGGGCCCGTGCCAAGGGGGAAGGGCACAGACATGGGAGGCACACACACCGGCTTCTTTATTGGCAGAGTCTTAGAGACTCAGTAAGGCACGGAGCCCAGGAAGGGGACGGGGTGTCCTGGAGTACATGGTCAGGAATACCCGGGCCCCAGTGCTGGGCACTCCATCGCGGTGAGCACTCCTGCTTTCTGAGCAGCTCTGTGCTTCTCTCCTTCAGGACCCTCTCCTGGGGAGCCTTAGAACAAGGGGCCCTTTTTTCCCAAGAGGGCAAGAGTGGGCGAATGGGGGTGAGGGGAAGGAGGAGGCAGCTCCATGGTGGGCGTGGGGGGGCAGCGGGAGGAAGGGGCCTGATGCTCCTCCTCCCTGAAGGCACTAAGAACAGAGGGGCCCAGCTCAGAGGCACGTCCCGGAGGCGCGGCGGGTGCTCAGCCTGCTGTCACTGAGCCCCAAAGCACCAGGTAGGCTGGCCGCAGGGGGCCGCCTCAGCTGAAATCACGGTTGGGCAGGAGGAGGGGGGCTACCAGGGTCCACAGGTAGAGAAGCAGCCCTGCCCAGCTGGCACAGATCTTCACCCACACGGCGGTCCACGTGCTGATCATCTTCCGGGTCTCACCGGGTCTGGAACACACCATCATCCCAGTGAGCCTGGCCCTGATGCTGTGACCTCAGTCCCGGCCCTGACCTTAGGATCCAGTTGCGACCCCTGACTTCACCTCTGGCTCTTACCCTGTAAACTCTAGCCCCATCTCTGATTTTTTTTTTTTTTTTTGCGATACGCGGGCCTCTCACTGTTGTGGCCTCTCCCGCTGTGGAGCACAGGCTCCGGATGCGCAGGCTCAGCGGCCACGGCTCACGGGTCCAGCCGCCCCACGGCATGTGGGATCTTCCCGGACCGGGGCGTGAACCCGTGTACCCTGCATCGGCAGGGGGACTCTTGACCTTGCGCCACCAGGGAAGCCCTTTGATATTTTTGACACTTGGCCTTAAGACCCTACATAGAGCTCATGGCCTTGTACCATAGACCTGACCCTGACCTCAATTCCAACCTTGACCCAAGTCCTAGGTATAATATTGTGACCTGATTCTGGTCGCTAACCTTGCGATCCTAATTCCGTGACCGCACTCCTGGTCCCTGACTTTGGGACCCAGAAGCTCCTAACTTTAGTCCTGACCTCTAACGTTGACTCTGACCTTCAATCCCATAACCCCATCCCTGACCCTATGACCACAGTTCTGATATCTCTGACCTCAATTTTGACCCTTGGCCCTGTGACCCCAGTTCTGGCCGCTAACCTAGTTACTCTGATCTTAGCTCCTTGACCTGGTCACTTCAATCCTGGCTTTCTGGACTTGTAACCCCAATTTTAACCAAATGACCAAATTTGTTACTTTGTATGGCCCCAATCCCAACTCTTGACTTCAGGACTCCTATTCTTGACCCTGTGACTTCGATTCTGACCCCACACCCTACTCCTAACCCTCAAACCATGAATCCCAAATCCGACCCCATAACCCAAATCACCACCCTGATCTGTAAACCTGGTCTGCCCTGCACAGGCCCAGCCTCACCTCCCGTGATCCCCACTTCTCAGCACTTAGCGAAGGTGCCAGCTACTGCGTGGACTAGGTACTGGCAGGGAAACTGGAGCACCGATGAGGCAGGCTCCCTGGAGGGTCCTAGAGAGACACCTCCATGCCCAAGTCTTAAACCCCAGCGCAGGGCTGGAGGGGAAGGGAAGTGGCACGCGCACTGCGGACCTGCGGCTCCATCCACGCACCTGTACCAGTTGGTGAGCGTCATCATGACATGCAGAGAGGCGAGCACCAGGCAGAAGTGGAAGAAGGAGTAGCTGTAGGTGACGCTGTCCTGCTCGTTGTCAAAGGCCCGGCCCTCGCAGTCCGCCGCCTGCTGCTGCTGCGTGGCCTCCAGCACAGGCGGGCACTCCTCCGTCTGCATCAGGCTGTTTACCTGCCGGTGGTCCGAGGAGCGCAGACTGGGGGAGGCGGGGGGAGGATGTGCGTGTGGCTGTCAGGCCGTCACCACTGAGGTGGGTGGGTGGGCAGCGCCAGGGGGCCTCACGCACCACGGCATTGGCCATGATGACCATGGGCACCAGGGTCCCAGAGGCTTGGGAGCCGGCGGCCTGGAGGTTAGGCCCTGGGCCCTGGAGTTAACAAACTGCCTTGACTCTCAACTCTACCCCTACTCCCTGTGTGACCTTGGGCAAGACGCTTAACCTCTCTGAGCCTCTGATTCCTCGTCTGTAAATTCAGAGATAACAGTACCTCCCTTATAGGGTTGCTGGGAGGATTAAATGGAGTAATGGTGTTTGAAGGCCCAGCACTGTGCCTGGCACAGAGTAGAAACCAGATAAGCGGCCCTTGTTATTCTGGTTGTTTATTTGCCATCTCCACAAACACGTGTTGAGAACTTAGTACCGCAAAGGATCGTACCAGCTACTACATTCATTAAAAATCTTCATAATAATGCTCATTTGCTGGTACATTTGTTTACCTTTTATTCATTTTAGCTAAGTAGTATTACCCACTGCCTCCCCTTTCTCTATGTTTATAATAAAGAGAGAATAATAGTAATGATTTCTGTCATTGCTTTTCTACAATGAGGTCTTGATGTTTTTAACTACATTTAATAGTTTGAGACACATATACAATTTTGAAGATCCAACTTGTATCCTGAAAAAAGTGAACAAAGGCCTGGATTCCAGCCCATTCCATCAAATTGAAAAATCACCCCTTGCTGAGCTTCAGTTGACCCCAATCACCAAATACTGTACTGATATCTAGTGCACGTGAGCCTAGATCTGGGCCATCCAGCTGGGGGCAAGAGCCATCATCAGTGGTCCCTGCCCTCGTGGCTGTTTATGCTTCCTTGCTTCCTGGGTTTTAAGAACTGTGCTAAGAACAGATGGGATCTGTGGGCTCTCCGAGGTGCAGCCCAGTGACTGAAGGCCAGGGAGGTGTATTAGAAGCATCAGGAAGCACAGCTCTGCGCCCACGTTGGGGATGGGGAGGGATAGAGCTCGGGGGCAGGGAAGTGAGCTCCAGCACCACGGCCACTGTGCGCTCATGGCCTCGGACAAGTGGCTGCTCCTCACCAAGTCTCAGTCTCCTCATCTGTAAGATGGAGGTGACGTGGGCCCTTCCGGGTTGGAAAAGAAATCAAAGGAGAGGACAAAGAAGAGAGGTGTTTGTGAACTGCCCCAACTCAACTAGGAGAAAATGTTTTGAAAAAGGTGAAAACAAAACGAAATGTGAAACAGCCTCAAAATGTTCTAGCCCAGGAGCCTAGAAGCAGGTGTGTTGCTTACAGGCAAACGGGCGCTGCCCAGGAAGGGTGACTGGGGGAGAAAAGATCAGGGCAGAGGTGCAGACACACAGAGTGGCACCTGGAGAAATGCCAGGCCGCAGGGAGGCAATACCTGAGTCTGCCAGTGTCAACAATAAGTATACTTGATATTACCATCTGGTGACACAAAACAGCCACTCACAGCCATCCAGCTGTGCAAATATTAATAGTTCTTTGCAATAATGGCAAACATTTATTTGGCACCTACTACTTGCCAAGTTCTTTTCTAAGTGCCTTGTACATATTAACTCATCATAACTCTTCAACAAGCCAATGCAATAAGTAGTATTTTTATTCCTATTTTACAGATAAGGAAACTGAAGCACAGAAAGGTTGAGAGACTTGCCCAAGGTGCCAGGCTCAAGTCCACGCTGATAAGCACTTGCTAAGACCCCTTCAAGAATGTGTCCTTAAGAGCACATGTGATCTTAAGAATGAGCTGCTTTTTCTCAAGGGACACTGTGGGGTCACAAGCCACCCTGGGCATTAGAGGCTATCATCCTTTAACTGAAAAGGAAGCTGAAGCTTGGAAAGGTGAAGCGGCCACACACAGGTGTGAGTGATAGAGCCTGGACCTGCTGGCCCCAGTCCAGGCTCCGGCCCTGGCACCACAGCTGCCTGCACCCTGCTGAGCTGGGCACATGGCAACCCGGGCTCGGGAAAGGCCTTGGGCCAGGAGGCAGGGTTCAGCCCCGCCTCCGCTGCCCAGTCACTCTGTGCCCTCTGAGGGGCTCAGTTTCCCCACCAGCACAGTGCCGGGGCTGGATGTGCTGCCTGCGGAGCGCGCCTTCCAGCTTGGTGTCCCAGCTCCCACATCCTCCCGTCACTTGTGCCTCAGGGCTCCCAATCATGATTCCTTCCCAGAAACCAGCCCCCCACCCTACCTGATGAAGAGGGTGCACAGGATGAAGACGATGAGACCCACAATGCTCGGTGCATCCCACCACTGGGTCTCGTAGCCCTCGGGGCCTGCCAGGACCGTCCCATTGCCAAAGAGGGTCAGCAGGTTGGGGTTGCATTTCCGGTCTGGGGATGGGAGCATGGTCACCCTCAGCCCACGCAGGCCAGGTCTGTAGCCAGGGAGCCCAGAGGATGGGCTCAGATGGACAGCCAAGGGACAGACAGACACACAACCAACTACTCAAGTCCCAGCGACAGCACACAGCAGACAAAACAACAGAGACAGCTCCAGGAACAGATGGGGTCCTCCCATCTCCCTGAAGGACTAAGTCTTGGAATGGGCTGGGAATGTCCCCGTCACCTTTGAGGGTCCCCAGCCCAGGAGGAAGACCAGGCCACCTGGAACCCAGGCCTCTACTCACCGGGGACGTTGGATAAGGCCAACCAGGTGACAAACATGGTGTAGAGCGTGATGACCGAGGCCTGCAGCAGACCCGAGTTGGGCTGGGCATCCTGGCAAGGGCAGCCCACAGTGTGACTCCTGCCAAACCTGGGTACACCCCACCCCCACCCAGCCCAGCCACACCCAACCGGGGGACCTCAGAAACCCTCACCACCCTAGGGCCATCCCACCCCA